TGTAAGCAGTAGAGTAGCCTTAGTGCTACGATCTGCTGAGATTAAGCCCTTGTCCTAAAGATTTGTTTTTCCTGTTCGCGTAATTGGCAAGTTTTAGGAAATAATTATATTTGTTTATTAATCGCTCAGCTAATTTATTAATAAAATTGCATTCATAGGATGATAATAATATAGAATTCTTTTTTTTTTTTTACTTAAGTTCTAGTGATCGGTCGCCCGAATATCCTCTGCGGCTAGCATTCTAATTGTAACTATATCAATTTTTTTTGTATTACTTTTAAAAAATTTTATTATCTAATAAATTAACTTTTTTTAATTAACTTTTTTTATTTATTAAAAAGACACTGTAATAGTTTTTTTTTTTTTTTTAAATATAAACTTTAAAAGTAAAAAAGTACATAATTCTTGTAATTAATAAAATAAATTAAAAGTAATCAAAGGATTCGGTGCTTATGTCATGTTTAAGTAATCCCGTTCCTATCAAAGATTTTAACGATAAAAATTAACCACTGTTTAAATATTTCGACAATCCAGAAACTTCGCTGATTTGTTCGATCATATAACCCTTTGATGATTCTTTAGATAATAAAGGTCCAACGCTCATTTCCTCCCATGAATTCCAAAGTTTTTCTATTCGTGTATTAAAAGCGTTACCCATACCGATACAAAATATTGCATCATAACCTCCGGCTAATGATTTAATAAAAAGATGGTGGTCTAAGTAATCTTAAACATAAATAAGCAAGTGCAAAGTGATCGTTTATTTACCTCCGGGAACACCGGCCATGATTAAACCAGGAATTTCATTACAGGCATCAAGCAATTTCGTTTGTTTAGGTGGTTCAATTGGTACTTGCGATAGTTCAGACATTTCACGTAATAATCCTCGAATTTTCTAATAAAATAAAATTAAAAAGTTAATTCGCGATTCCAAATACAAAATTATTTAACATTTAATATGTAACATTTTACCTGAAATGTAATGAAGATGGAAGAAAAAAGAGCAATAATAGTATTATTCGGATTTTGTACACCAAGTATTGTCCACTAGAATAATTGAAATGTTATAAACTTGATTTTTTAATATATTAGGTAAAGTTCATATATTCTGTATAATTTACCTCCGAAGCTTTTACATTTTCGCAAATCTTAATAGCCATATTATATAATTCTTTATTCTTTTGATAGTTCTTATTTAATTCTTTTAAATAATTTGAAATAGCTGTATTATGTTGTGCAATTGTATCCCATAATGCATTTGCTTTTTTTTTTTAAAAAAAAAGAAATCAAATAAAGTTACAAAATGCACCTAAAATAAAAAAAGGAATAAAAAAAATTTTTTACTTTAATAAAGAAAGTATCTCTAACCCTGATCAGCATTTTCTTTATGCCATTTCAATACTCTTCCGACCAT